AACACCACTAAACATTCTTTTCAGATGACAACCATCAAAGCCTACAAAGAGCCTACAACCAGCCAAGAAACCATCTTTTTGTGCCTTGAAACTGATGAACATTCTAACAAACCTTGGTTCTATTAATAAATTAAGCCTATCATAGTGGACTTTTACAATACTTTTAGGGTTGTTTTGCATAACCAACTCAGCATATTTTGGCAGTTTGCTATAGGATTTTTCATGTAATCCTTGAGCAATCTCTAAAGCTCTATTTTTTGCTCTATACACTTGGTTCTTACTTGGTTTAATACCAAATTTCAGCATCTCAGCAGATACTCCCTCAGTTGTCATATGAGGATACTCTCTCAATACATCAGCTAATTTCACTGCAATCCAATCAGAGATTACTTCATTATTCTTTTTATTCATTACACATGTGTGCTCAGGATTGTAAGATTTCATCATGAAAGTGATAAAGTCAGCAATTGGAATGCATGTATTCTCTAATTGCAACCTTGTGCACCACATTTGGTAGTCATTCTGATTTTTTCATTCTTCAATCTCACTAATGGAAAGTTTTTTTGTATGACGTAATCTTTTAGAACAACCCTAAAGCCATCAAGATCAATAAAAAGCATCCCCTTCTCAAATTCGATTTCATCTCTGGGATTATAAGTTCACATTTTGGACTTCATTATAGCTTTCATATAATCTGGTTCTTTATCAGATTTAGTATCAGTCACAACACCTCTATCTTCATTTTCTAAAATCTGAAAAGCCTGCATCACTATTATTTTCAAAACAAAGTGAAGCATCATCATCATCTTGAATGTCATGTAACTCATTCTTCAAATGATATGTCCAAGAGTCATAAGAACTTGAATCATAGTCCCCATATTCCCCATATTCATCCCTATTGCTAACCATGTCATCCAAATGTACCACTGCATTATCTTGTATTCCCAAGTTCTCTTGGTCAGCCCCATAATTATTTCCTTCTATGTTGTTAACTTCTGGAGGGGGAAATATATTTATGTCCAACAAGTGAAGGTTAATAATTAGGTCATTTTCATGTAGGTTGAACATTTCCAACACTGACTCATCATCAATGACATCCAAGAAACCCAAATCTCTAGAGATTACACACCATATATGCATAGCATATTTAGATTCCCAGGAAACTGATTTAATGCCTTTTCAGCAACATCATTAAGGAGTTCAATATAAGAGTACTTATCAGGGTTGACATTAGAAATTCTGCATTTTCTATCCATATAATGGATAACAATATCATGTGTGATGATAAATCCCATCCCACATTTAATACAAATGTTCAGATTTTGTGAAATGCAAGCATGTACAATAAGTCAAGCATATCATAAACAAGTATTGCACTGACTTTAGCACATAAACAAAACATTATAGAGGTTGCATATACAATAGCAAACATAACTTTGTTTGATATTTTTCTAGAGTTTTCAGACAAGTAACATCCTAGTAACCAAACTCCTAATAACATATATCATCTTAAGCAAAAGATTGACATTTGGATCAGTCTGCAATCAGGAAGTTTACTCTTATTGATAACACAAATTACACAAACATAGAGATGGATTTTGTAACTGATTTTCCTACTAGAGGATGGGTGTATACAACAAGCAGATGTTTGAACAATCTCATGGGTTGATCATGTATGATATTAAGGAGTTCAATCACTATGTGTAAGGTTGTAGTGTTCTTGGTTCTTATCCCTGTTCTCTTTGTTCGAATAGAGAGCAAGAAGCAACAAGTGAAGTTTCAACTCCAACACCTCTGCACTTCCCTTTTGATATGTCATTCTTATGGTTCCAAAGTTTCCCGCTGATAATTGCTACAATACCAAAAATTGGCGCCAATCACCAATTTCTTGTGACTATTTACACACTTTGTTTCATAGTTTTTTTCCCATTATTCCAATTCATTTTATCATGATAATTTGCAAAGTAATTTCATCATTTAACTCTAATTGATGGAGATATTTTGTCCCCTCGATATGACAAGGGAGTTAAGTGCTAATTTTGAAACCACAGGGGTGCTAGGTGAGATTAGGCCTAATCTTAAGGGAGGTTTCTGAAATCATCCCCAAGAAAGAACCTTCATGCCGTTCTCAAAATGAAAAGTAAAGAATAAAGGGAGACGAAGCTGCAAAAGAAACAGATAAACAGATATGTATAGAAAGGGATATATGCATGAATAAATGAAAAATGTATGCCTAAAATCTATGACTTCTTCTAGTATTTTATTAACCCAAGGATAATTGCAAAATTGTTTTAAGAGTAAATCACAGAATTTAGAGTCCCAAAATTTTGATTCTGTAACTTGTGTTAATCTATGGACAAAGAGGGGAGATATAATCATCCCTTGAACCTTAAGAAAAAAGAAATTGCATTTTTTTCCAAAGTGATAGTGTCACAGTAATCAGTTTCCAAATAGATAATAGTCTATGGACAAAGAGGGGAGAGATAATGTCACAGTAATCAATTTTTGCATTTTTTTTCCAAGTGATGACTGATCAACTTTGCAAAATAAATGCCTAAGTTAGACTATTCAATTCTCCTATTAGGAAATTGGTTGTCTCTTTTTTTTGCTTGACACGATAAATCTACACTACTATTATATACTAAGGGGAGGGGGACTTGAAGAGATCCAAGGACAATCCGAATGGGATTGAATCACACCGGCCCAGACGGATCTATATTAGTCTATACTAAGGGGATGGGGATCTGGAAAAGCCTAAGAACAATTCGGAGGGGGATGAATCACCACCAGTCCAAAGGGGGTACGTAGGCACCCACTGACAACATTTTTGGGAAACCTGAATTTTTAGAATGTAGGTAAGAAAATTTGATCTCTTGATATACACCCAAGAAGAGCTTTAAATCTTTCTTGGTGGCCAACTACTCCTAGGTTAATTCGTTGCCTATTGTAAAAGCTGAAAAAACAATTGTACCAAACTGATGTGACTTAGGAGATCATGTCAGCAAGGCAGTCCAAACTAGCCTAAAGACCTGCAAAGGAAGAAGAGGATTGGGACTAACTCTCCCAAATCACTCTGATGCTCAAGTTAATTCTAAATTATAAAAGCCATTTGAGGTTGCAGTAGTTTATTGAGAAGTATTTTCCCAATTGGGCTTTTAATAAAAGTACTTATTTAAGTATTTAAATTCTTTTAAGTATACTATTTGGAGATATAATTTAATAAGTATTTATAGTATTGAATAATGCATGATTTGAAAATTTTTAAATGTATTTATCTCTTTATTTAGTTTATAATATAGGATAAAATGATTAAATTTAATATTTTATTTTAAATCACAAAAGTTACTCTAAAAGTATCAAATTTGAGCTTTTGCTAAAAGTGCTCTTAACACCAAAAATTTTGCTCCTAATTTTATGGGATGATATTCACCAAACGCCTTAAAAGTACTTTTAACACCTAAAAGTTTTTTTTTTTTTTTACCAAAATCACTGCAACCCCAAATGTGGTCTAAGAATGAGATAAATTTATAATGTAGATCCTACTGAATGTACCTTTTATGAGTCCATGCTCAGTATTGATAGAGTTCTTTTAGATAACTAACAAAGAGTTAGGAACTTAGGATTTATCTCTTTGTGTTGGATAATAATCAACCTAATAATTTCCTTATTATCCGATAGTTATGGATAATACTCCTGAGAAGGATACTCATCAAGGGAGCTTATCCTAGGTAATCGGAAGATTAACAGTTACCTACAACGTCTTGAGCCTTCGGCCATAATTAAATAATATAAATAGTTAGGGAAATTATATTTACAGATGTAAATATAATTAGATGTAAATAGTCAGGGAAATTATATAAATAATTTTAGAAAATACATATATTAGTTACTTATCATAATTTATGATATTAAAAATTTTTTCTTAGAAAACACCAGTATATTTTTAAACACTGCTATTATGTATATGTAAAATATTGGTATTATTCAACTGTTGAATATTAGTAAAATTAATCTATTTATTAATAGATTTCTTACCACAAAAAAATAAAATTATATATTTATACATTTTTTCTTTTTTTCCTTGTCAATTATTCTGTTTGATGTTTAAATATATACCATTATTTTTATGATAATATTTAAATATCTTGAATTATCATAATAAACTAAAAAAAATTTAGAAAAAATAATTTATGTGATTCTTATATTATATGCCTCTGCAATTGTATTACCATTTTTGAACACTACTATGTCGTTTAGCAGAAAAAATATGATAAAACCATTCTCTAAGGATAAAACTATAAAACAACACGTATCCAAGGGTGTGATTGTCTTTTCTCATCTCTCATACACAAAAATTTCAATCCACATGTTTGACCATTTGTGTGCAGGAGGCAGTTTGTACAATTTCTAATCAAAGGAGATACTTTGCTACTCAACTCACATTGCAAGGGGCAACTTGCTATTAAACCTTTTTTGAGGTAAATTGTGGTGTCTCCTAATATCTCAATCTTTACACATTTTATCATTTTTTACAGAATATTTTCCTTTTCGTTTGCATCCTTTATAGTTAATCAAAGTCTAAATTTCTTTTTAAAAGGATTAGAATTTAAAATGCTACTTGTTAACTAGTCATTCAAATTTGTATCATTTAGTTGGCAAGATTAATTTGCTTAAAAATACCTAGACACACAAAGAGCAAGCTTGAAGACATTCGTGAAAGGGTAAATGGAACTGTTAGCTTGAAACTGATTAGGTGTTTTCTACTCCACTATTCTGCACTAGACCTGTAATGACCAATAAGCCAAAGCTAATGCTAGATTATGTTGAATCTAGGAGAGATTTTGATAGCAAGAATCAATTTTTTTCAATTAATTGATGGACGACCAAAGAAATGAACTGCATTTGAATCAAATTGAAAATTGAAGGGGGTTAAGTGTGACAATCAAAAGAACTGCAGAGCAAAGTAAAGACTAGATGATAATTTAGGAGGATTTAGTCTATACTAGCCAACATTATGTTCACATCTTCATTGCATTTTGTCCAAGATAAGGGTTTGGAACATAGAGACTCTAAAAATGTTTGGAGGACGGTTTAGTGCAATTAATAAACATAATAGAATTATGATCGAAGCTTCCGTGTTTCTTCTAACACCCCTCCAGTACTTCCATTGAGGCACCCCAAGTTTCAAGCAGCATCTCACTTTGGAAAAGCTTCAATTGTCTGTCATAATTGTTGAACCAATCCGCAAATTCCGGCAGAAAGTTTAACTGTTAAGGTGCTATCATCGGTCATACTATTGAAAAATGCCAGAAAGAAAAAACAAACTGTGCCTATCGAGTGCAAGAATGTCAAGTCAAACCATATGGGGTCATAAGCGCTTTGCGCTAGCAAACATCTTTCCTACCAGAATGATGAACGGTTAACGGCCACTGATGCAGATCAAATGTAACTGCTGCCGCGCAATGATCTATACACTGAACTGGCTTGACTTCTTTGCGGGGTGCAGAATCCTCCTCCATGTCAAGTGCACCATAACTGGTAATAAGCAAGAAATTTACCTGATTTTCCACGTAAGAAGATTTGCCTTTGTCATGTGCTTAGTCTTTTTGTGATCTTCAACGTTGCATGATAGCCAACTGGCATCCCCTGTTTCCATGCTCAAAACTCATCCTCCAGAAGTTGGAATCCATTAGGATAATCATGCTGTAGTTTCCATTTATACTGGGGATCGGCTCTCTTGCCGTGTTTCCCTAGAATCATAAATGGGATTGTATGTTCCCTCTTCTTGATTGGCCGCCCCTTACAAGTTCATATAGAGGAATTCTAATACGAAATCAACGAGAATGGAATACCTGGAGGTTTTGGTGGTAAAAACCACTGTCAAACGTCAAAAATGCAACCAAATCTTTTCAAGCCAGATACTTGCTCAACAACCTTTCACATATCAATTTTGGACCGATCCTTCAAATGAATAAGCACCCGCATCCTCCCACTTTTGTTCCAAGAATAGATTGATTAAGTACAAGATTTAATGTGACTTCTGCGGCATGTGTTAAGATGGCCTGCCAGTATTTGAATGTGCAGTACCCTATAGTTTCAGAGACTGCTGTCCACATATTGAAGTAAATAGTCTTAAACTACTTGCAGATCCATCCCAGATGTCTTTATTGTTTCACTTTGGTTTTTTTTTCTTACCAAAAATTCCTTGCCCATCCCCCACCTCTCAGTAATTTTTTAACTCAAACACAGACATGCCTAGATTGATAAACATACTGATTGCACTGAGTACATGTCCAACAGAAATGAGGCTACCTGAACAGAGTATCAGTCTAATTTTTTGGGTCAAATAACAGAGTGTCAGTCAGGTACCGCTTGAAAGATAATTGCCACACGCTTCAGGTGCATGCTCTGCAATCTGCAAGACTATTGCATCCAAAGAAGGGGTTATCCAGAAAATGAAATCAACTTTTAGGTTCAACTAAGGAATCAAAGAAAGCATTTCCAGTATTGCATTAGTTGTCTAATAAGTTATAATTACAATGAAAACAAAATGAAACAACTGATAATCAGAATCACAGTATAGCATAAAGAAGATTTCCTCATAATAAAATGCTGCACAATGCCACAATAAAACACAACCATTCCATCTGGATCACATTGTGTGGACACAAACAGACAAAAAGCATTTTGTGTGGTGAGCATTGCAAGTCTGAGGTGAGCAGGTTGGATTAGCTAGCTTACGCAGGAATAAAATGGGCTCTTACTTGTTTAAAGAGTTTCAGAAGAAGATTACTTAGAAGATTGGGAGAAACTTAACTAGTACTATCATCATCTTCCAGAAAGAAGCCTCAATTCCCGAAAGCTGCCACTCTAATTGCAACAAATTTGGCATTTCCATGGCAATAAATACCATAACGTCAAGTTTCTGCTCTACAGAAGTCAGTCTATGTGAAAATCTCTACAAAATCAATTTACGGATAAAACCAATGCAAACAGTTGAACAAGCAGTTTTGCTCTGAGATGCATTCTGTAAGAAACCACAATAGCTGGAACAAGCTCTCCCGATGTCCAAGCAAGATGGAAACTTTAGTTTGGTGTCCAAGCATGATGGCACAGCATGGCATTCACGGTTCTTGTTTTTATTACCTTTCAATAACAACAGCAGACTCGAGAATGCAATCAACCTGCATTCTTTTATGCCTTCATGCTAAATTTACTTCTTTAAGTTTCGCCTCTAACTCAAGATATCAGCAAATCCAATGATTCTCAGCCAGATTTATGGAAAATCCAGTTGAAGCTCACATTCAAATACCAGAATCACAAGATTAAAAATTTCAAATGATTGACATCAGCAAGTTCAGAATATAGATGGTTGAGCCTGCTATTAGATTCTCCAATCAACAAGATTGTAGGACCAATATCACCAGCTCACATATAGAGAACTACAACTACCACTAGTACTACCAGCAAAACAAGAGAGTGTGGGTTCAAACTCCATGTATTGATGTTGTGGTGTTCAAGTTTTCTCATTCCACTCTCCAAATTGCAATAATGGATGATTTATATTCCATTGAGAGAGATACAGCCAGCAATCGCTAAGGACCCTAAGCCAATTAACAAATGACAAATATTCAAACTGTCTCTTAAATAATTCACAAAACCTTATTCAGCCAAGAAGATGATTACAAGCACAACTAATGGTTATATGCAAGGAAAACCAAACAGAGTATCAAAGATACTTTTGATACACATTAAACCCTTGAACAAGCCGTATATACTCAGAAACAGCAAAGCTTTAATTAGCATCAAACATGGTGCAAAACTCTTTGATCATAAGCGTTTTTCAGATTTTATACAAATACCAACCCTGACACCATTAGTCTATCAATTAAACCAAATCAGCAACCAGTTTCTCTATTTTAGACCACCAAACCAAACATAATATCAAAGATATTCTCCGTACAATTTAAACCCTTGAACAAGCCATGTATATTTAGAATCAGCAAAATTTGGATTAGCATGAAATAAGGTACAGTACTCTCTGATCATAGTCAATTTCACAGTATATACCAAAAATAACCCACCCTGACTCTTCCATCAATCGAAAGCGCAATGAAGAACCAGTGTCACTATCTTAGACCCACCCAAATCCCAAAAAGACATACTGGACTAAGCTGATTTGATTACAAAGATATAATATGAACATCTGGGGAAACAAACCAGAAAAGGGACTTGATTTGGATATACAATTCTTTGATCAACCAACATGGAAAGGACCAATATCTCCATTTCTGAGAGAGCTAGCAATCTCATCAGCAACTGACAAGCAAGACATCACCCAACCACTCAATGCTGTCCATATTAGATTCGCTAACCAAAATGTGATACTCCATGGCACCGCCATAATTCTGAAGTCGTCCTCTTCCTTCAAATCCCCGATTATTTGGAAATTCGAAAGTAAACCAAAACGCAAGATTCCAACTTTCTCGTCCAACCGACACCTTCAATTTCCTTCTCTATATGAAAATTCATCAAAATCCCATGAACCCCTTTTCTTCTCTACCCTAATTCCCGAATGAAATTCAAATATGTTGAATTCGAGAGGTTCTCAACAATTCAGCAACTCTTCCCCAATTCACGAAAAACCCACGAAACCATCAACCTTCAATTATACTTTTCCTTCATTGGATAGATGAAACAATGCAAACCCATCTCATATCCACTCCCAAATATCAATTCAGAACTCTGTCAAGGAAAAAGCTGGTCCCCTGCAAATATTTTCAGCTAAAAACACCGCTAGCTCTCTGCGGAACAATATTGATTTGGTAATGGATAGAATTGAAGGAATGATCATTCTTAAGAAAGACACTGGTCGCTCGCAGAAATTACGGGCAATTTCGGTTGTGGCTGCCTGTGGTTTAATTGATATGCTTGATTGGGACTTGGTGTTGGGCCGGTTGGCACTCACGGGTTACGACTCATTTTTGGATGTGTCTTCTTCTTTTGATTCTGGTGTTTATTAAAGGACTGGGAGGAGATCACCGCGCAAATGCGCGGTGGACAATTCTAAAATTTATGTGCCCAGTTATGCCCTGTTTACAAAATGCCTGCAACGCAACTAAGGATCAAAAAATGGGAAACTATGTCATTGAAAAGTACAATAATATACACAATAAATATAGATTGTTCATAGTCAAGGAATTCATAATAAATAGATAAAACAATAAAATTAGTCTTGTAGAATCTCGAAACATGAACTTGAACTTCCATGATTCCGATAAATACATATTTTAACTTAACCAAAAACAAAAACTTTCTGTAGTTCGTACTCACCCCAGAAGTGTAATGAGCAATTTCGAAAGAAACTGCTGAAGAACCTGCCATGTATTATAACAAAAAAGAAAGTAAGATATAATCCGTCGAAATTAGTTTACTGCTGTAAAACCAAGTTAAAAATAAATCAAGGGACTTGAATAATGCCAACAAGTACAGGACAAATTCAACAAACATTTGCACTTTTGGTTACTAATACTCTCATAAAAAATTTGTTACCCCTTGTATTTTTTTAACCCATTTCACAAGCAAGAAACTTTTCTTTTTTCTTTTTTTTTTGGTACAGTAGTTGTCAAAGTCAAGAAATGAAAAAATTCTTATAGGTAACCTAAAGTGTCTTGCTTGGTAACTCGAGTGCTCACCAAAGTGAAACTATTAGATGTGCCAGATCCTTGGAGATGGTATGCAAGTAAACTTTTCCACAACTTGATCATGCAGCTGCGCAATTTACACAAAATGCCAATGGAAGATAAGGTGAAAAAGGAAATAAAATCATGCAAACAAATAGGCCAAGAAGATCCTAAAATGTAAAAATGAAGCAGAAACTTCTCCAGAGACGATATCTTTATATTCTAATGACATACTCCAATCCAAAAACCAAAATACATGCAACTCTAAATAATGTCATGTAATTCAGCTTTTATTCCCAATAAAGTTCATATTACTCTAGCATCAAGAATCTATAAAAATTTTCAGGTGTAAAGAAAAATAGTGAAGGCAATATTCATCTAAAAAATTGGTATTCAATTATGTTTCAAGGTTGCTCCTATTGAATATTCGCAGGGTTTACATGGATTGTTGAGTTTTTGCAACAACTTATTTAATCAAACTTTTGATATCTATTCTATTCCCATAGAAAGAAGACACAAGCACATGTGACTATTAAAAATCCCTAAAATGGAACACAAAACTCTAAATATATAGGGAAGGCAAATAACAAAAAAGTTTCTCTGAGTTGCTTTCCAATTTTTCATTTTTTGTAAAATCTCAAAATTAGTCCAACGTTGGTCATAAAGTTTTGCTAATCTCAATATTATTAAGAACACAAGTTTCAAAGCAGATTCATCAAGTTCACTATTCCCTGATTGTCACAGTCAACATTAGTTTGTTAATCATTGTCTATTGGGACATACTTCACACATTTCACATGGTTTGAAATTAACTACTTCAACTGTTAACAGCCTGAGGTTTTAAGCCAAGCATTGAATAAGTTCTATAGATAGCATGCTTAGCAAAGCAAGAATGACATTTCAGACTTTAATCAAACGATATTAATCCAAATCCAAAAAAAAATAAAAGAAAATTACCTACAAAATACCTATGAAATACGTATAAAAGAAAATTACCTATGAAACAGCAAAGCAAGCCTATTGTCAATTTTCAAAAGAGATGCAGAGTACAACAATCATTATTAACTTCAATTAACTTCAAAGTCTTGAAAAAAAAGAAACACAGCCTCTGAAGATCTTTATCACAGTAAAGGTGAGTAAAAAGATAGTCTACCGTGGCACAAAAAGATAAGAATTAGTTTCTTCATCTCAATTATAACTAAGAAAGCACTTGTTCACTACACTATTACCTCATACGTTAAACCTTACACATTGACAAGCACAAATTGGAAACAGTGACAGATTTTCAAATTTATCAGATGAAATTCATATACGGTATTCAGCAAGCAAAGATAACACCATCTGTCAAATACTACCCACAATTTGAACATCAGATGAACATTCAACACATGAATCTTATAATAAATGTCATCAAGTAGACAAATGCAGTGTACAATAGAGAAGTGATGTCAGAAACAAACTATCTGATACCCATTCCATTCAGCATTTAAAGGCATGCCTAGGGCTGGAGGAAATATCATTGATGCTGAAGACCAGGGTGAGGCACTTGTCTGAGTAGCACCATGCAATGGAGCAGATCCACTGGTAACAAAACCCAAAGTATGGTCATTTCCTGCTACAAAAGTAGGATAAGATTAGATGTACCCCAATAATAACATATTCATATAAAGAAAAGAACCTTTAAAGTTGCTTAGAAGAAAGAAGATTTCACAAAAAAAATGGCGACAACAGAAACAAGAGGAGAAATCTATTGAGAGAGCATAAAAACAAGTCTTACCAACCTAAATCAAACAATAAAATAATGTCACCAATGAAATTTCCCCAAAGGGAACAAAATACTGTATATATATGTGGAAGCAAATTCTAGAGAAGTTTTTATGCATTATTTTCCAATTTTTCTTTTTTTTCTAAAAATGTAAAATTGGGTCCAACATCAAAGGTCAAAGTGAAGCACAGGGATACTATTTTCTGAACATATTTTTTCCAGCCAAAGATCTTGCCAAATTTCTTTAGTAATTTAAAAGAGGAAAGATGGTATCTTCATAGTAGATAACATGGATTTTGCTTTTGAAACTCCATTTATCTAATTCATATAACCATGTATCTCATGAATCATGAACTGATGAAAACATCTTCAAGGAAGTCAGACATAATAATGATTTCACTTTGCAAGTCAAAACCACAAAACCAGAAAAATCGACTATGAAATAAAGATTTCATCAAGCAGCTTCCCAAATCTTGACATTACCAAGAATACCAAGTAGTTTAAATAACAAATTCATCATGTTCACCAGCCAAGGGAAAAAATGAAGATAGAGAAGAAAAAGATACTCGTATCTAATTTACTTTGACAAACACAATAAAGGCCAAAACACAAAACACTGGAAGAAAGTTGCTCATTCTTCCAATCACTTTCACCTTTATCCTTTCTCTGACAAAAATCTCAATAAACAAAAATAAACTAAATTAGGTGAGAGAAACTGTTTATAGAAACAGACTATGGTTTATAGTATAAATAGTATAACACAAATAAATATTACCAGCTTTAACTACTTCTTCGAGATGTCAACTTCAAATCTTCATATTCCTTCCTGTAACAACAACCAATAATATACTCAGAAAAGTAACACCAAAAGAACAAAAAAAAGAGAGAAAAAAAAACATCGTCCATCAAATCCTAAACTGGGAGTGGAAGGGAAAAAAATTAAATCAGAATGATGCAACAAAACTTATGTTTTCCCTTAGCAGTTGTTTTTCATGGGTGGCCATTTTTCCTCCAAGAAAGGCAAAAATGGAAGAACAAAACACCAAAGAGGTATAAACAATTAAGTAAATAAATATCTAAAAGCTAGCTAATCTTCAATTATTCATCATCTCATACGATATTAAAAGTTTTTCTTCTAATTAAAAATTAATAATCAATGATAAAACAAAAATGAAACAGAGATGAAAGGGGAAGAAAAGTACCATATATGCATTCTAGAAATTCACATCAGATAGTGGAGATGAAATATTGACCTTCCCATTCCTCATTGTTTCACAAAAGGACACGAAGGAGATGGGGAAAAAGAGATTTGCTGCTTTTAGCCAAGAAAATAGAAATATCAGAAAAATGACAAAAAAAACAGAAAACGAAGGAGATTTTGAATTGAAGCAAAAAATCCCAACCAGATCTTTGGTTTTGTTGTTGTCGATCAGAGAAAACGAAGGATAAGAAAGGAAAAGGGACTTCAAAAGGGGGGAAAAACTTACAAAATAGCATGACGACGATGGAGAAAATCTCCAAATTTCATACCTGCAACATCGCAACATCACAAACGAAAAATAATTAGACGTGATTTTTTGAAGATCTAAGAAAATCACATCTGTTGATAACAAATCTCGGGAAAGAAAGCAGCCATTGAACACAGAAAGATTGCATCCTTTTTTCCTTTCTTATTTATCCAACAAATACCTTGGCCAGAAAAGATTTATTACAGAGATATAAGGGAAAAAATCCGGAGAAAATGTCCAAAAAATCACAGAGAAAGTGTTCACCTTTAGAGAACAATCTCCACATTTCTTCATGGTTTAGTTGATAGTCTGACCTCTCAACCTGTGACAAAAAATATGAAACTTATCAGAGAATGAGAGAAAATTTAATCAAGGGGGGGAAAATGTATACAGAACAAAAATGGAAAAACGGTGGATTTGAGAGGAAGATGAAAACTCAAGAGAGAAGAACAGGAGGAAACCATATGAGAAAGAAGCTTCTGGTACAACAGATTGACGGATTGAGGTGATTGATGTGGATTGACCAGCTCTGCCACTCTTCAACCAACAGCTTTGTTGCAAAAGCCAAGAATTGAGGAATTGAGGGAGACTTCTCCCTTGCTAGTTTACCCGGTGGTCAAAGACCCGCACAAAAGGAAACAAAAGAATTGCTAAACGCCAGAGCAAGCAAACAAAAGAATTCACGCGTGAGAACGGGCGACCATCAATTGGAAATTCGCACGGGTGGACGACCACCAATCAACCAATAGCAGCGCGCCACGTCAGCAATCACAACCCAATTGAAAACAATGACATTCCCCAATAGACTAGATATGTTAATAACTTTACTGATTCGGGTCATTATTGATAGGGAGAATTGCACAAATAGTCCCTCATATATTGTAAATGTGAAAATTTAGTCATTGATATCGCAAATGATCACTTTTAGTTCTTAGCAAATAAAAAAAAGGATCAATTTAAGTCCTTTTTCATTTTTTCGAACGATTTTTGGTTGGGACGTGTCACGCGCATATCAGGTACCCAACTTATAAAGGATAAAAAAGTTAAACCACTTATCTGTTGATCAAAATATAAGGGACGAATGATCCCCAAAATTCTCCGTCTCTCCTTCATCAAAAGCAAACCCTAAACCTAAGTTTCATCTCCATGGCAAAACCACCAACTTGTAATTGCGGTTTACCAGCGAGAGTGAAGACTAAGTGGACGGCTAAATATCCAAGAAAGAGATTCTATGGTTGCGCTTACTACAAAGTAAGTGTCTACCTGATTTCTATTGCTTTTTTATTTCAAAAAATGTAAATTTTGAATAAGTAATGATTGAGGTTCGACAGCATAATAGTGGCGGCAACTGTGGCTATTTCAAGTGGTACGATACAAGCAGTTGTAAGAGGTGCGATAAATTAATGAGACACATAAGAAGATTGATGAAGAGGATAAGAAAGTTGGAGGCAAAGGTGGAAGAAACAAGTTGCAAAGAGAAAATAATGAAATTGTTGCTATTTGCGGCCCTTTTCGTAGTTGCAAAAATTTTTCTGGAAAGATTGAGTTTAACTACCGTTTGTTGGTGTAGGTGGTGAACTGGATTGCTCTTATTTGCTGTATTTATATTGGGTTACGGTTTAGTGGGCTTGTTGATTGTGCAAATCGAATTTTGGGATGCACTTATCGAGCTTAAGTTCTCTATGCTATTGTGATTTTTTCTTGAATATGAGCTTACAGCATAATATGAAATATCTAACTTGAATGTGTTGTAAAAAACTGACCAGGAATAAGCTTGTATTGAAAGGTGATGAAGATGATAATGGCGTGATTATAAGTGAAGAAAAAGTAGAAAGTGAACAAATTAGTTACACCAGAAATAAGAAGAGCATGCATTCCATTGCTCAAAAAAATAGTACATAACCCAGTCAAGTACATTTATTACAATATGCCTTTCACCAAAAAAAAATGCAATGAACTAAGAAGTCAATTCCATTGCTCTAAAAAAATGGTCTACTGAAGTCAAATACTAGACAAAAAGAACATCTTCTAACTTCTTAAACACTTAAATAAAGCCATTTGCACCCTATAGTCATCTAAGTCAGTTTGTCATCCCTCCTTGCAGTACTTTTAGAAATGGATACCTTTGCAGTTAATGTCTTCTTAGGCCTCTAAAGATACGAACAAAACAATGAGGAGGTCATTCATTGCATACAATATTTGAGATTTGATAGATGATATATGAAGTAGACAATAACAATTTACTTACAGCCAGTCCAGGTGGTTCCCATGGGTGTCTCTTATAGACAGAGGCCAATGTTGAATGTGACGGCCCCACCTCCCCCTAGGGCGTACCCCAGGGTTCGGCGGATCGCCTGCCCAACTCTCGCCGGGACTCAGTCGTTCACTACATTTCTCAAACAGATTACAATATAAATCTCAAAAATTACATCAAATTCTCCAATAATTACATCTCACAAATGCAGCGGAAACGATTCCCAACTATACATAAAATGATTCCAAATCCAAACTATACAAGATATCAGCCATCCAGTCACGTGAATAAGTACTACAAGTCCTTCCTTCACCTTGAGCCCTGTGGAGGGGAAAAAAATAGTTTTGGGGTGAGCTAAAAGCTCAGCGAGTAACCAGTAAAATCAGTAATCAAATCGGTTTCACAATAGTTCATTTCAATGATGTCATAAATCAAACGATAAGTCAAGAAACAATTACAACATTTACAAGAAACCCTACATGAAAAGGATACGTTCGTTCGTTCATTCGTTCCTTCGTTCGTTCTCCTGTCATTCCCCTTTCCTTCATTCATTTGAAAATGCATTTTTCATTTATCAATAAAACCCTCGTTCGTTCGTTCGTTCATTCAACCTTTCCTGGACATTGACCAGGCTCCACCAATGACAGGTTGTCGAAGCCTGTGCAATAATAAAGTTAAACCTAATTGTCAGTTAAAATGACCAAAATCCAATTCCAAGTACTGGAGCAGGGACTCTAGGTGTGCAATGGGTTACTTGATTCACCCTGTTCTCGAAAAGTTTGCTTGATCCGATATACCCGAATGGAATGGTAATTCCTTTTCACAAATAATTATGAATTTGTAGACAGGGCAAGTAGGGTCGTATCCACAGAGACTGGATATATTTGTTTCTTAAGAAATCCAAAGTAACACAGGAGGTGATTTTGTAGGAACGACGATAATTAACTAAATTCCAATGAGAAAATAAAAATAAACAACTAACTAGAAATTAAACCACAATTTATTGAACTCAGGATAACAATAATTAAAGGTCTAAATCAATTAAAACAAGGAAACATTCAAAAATAAAATAAAGTAGACAATTAAAAGTCAAATGGCAATCCACTACAATCAAGGAAATATTAACTAAAGATCTAGTCAAGAAATAACTTCAGCAATGGTTCACCTAATTGATCATCGAAGCAAAGGCAATCCCAATTATTTACCAATAAATAGGTTATAACTACCAAACAAGCGATGACAGTCAACCCCTCCTTACTGTGTCGGTGATCAAGGTACGCCCGTTAATCACTGCTCTAATTGAGAAATAATCCTAGGTACGCCCGTAGAATTTAATTCCCCAACTGCCTTACGTTTTAGAGGAGCCCTATTCTAACCAAATAACACACTACCAGGATTATTTTAGATTAGTCCGCGTATCCCCCTGACACGAATCTAATCGTGCCAGTTGTTGCTATTTTGAGGTAGTTAAACAATTACGGATTTAATACCCCAATTGACAATAGATTACCAAATCAATTAATTATCCGGATCTAAGACAATCAACTAATTAAATAACCATAAGCATAGTAATCAGGGAATACACGAATACCAATAAATAAAAGGGAAAGATTAAATTAAATCGATCTCACAATTTTCAGGTGACCCAAAGCATCCGTCGTTTCTTGACTAGAACGAGGGGATTAGCTCATATTGGATAAACTAAGCCCGTGGGAAATTTCAGCTAAAGTCACGGCCATTGTATGTATTTCAAGAGCCGCAATTCGTCAAACACTTAGAAAGCAAATGTAAGGCACGGGTAACAATTGAAGCCCTTTATTGTTCCTAGCATCCGCAGAGCAAAATCATTCACAAGGTGCAAGAAGGAAAAGTCAAAGGAAGCAGGCTCCAATCCCTGCCATGCGTAGGATTCAGAAGAAAAGAAATCAGGAAGAAAAATCAAAACTAAAAGCTAACAATTGCTTTTCTTCCTCACATCCGTAAGTTCCTAAAGTCAAAAGTAAGTCCAAGGGAAAACAAAAGTCAAGCTTTTCTGCTAAGCTACAGCCGGCCAGAACTAAGGGAAAAAAACTAGCTATCTCACTTCCTTCTTCTTCCCCCTTTTTAATTGCGGCGCACATCAACCGGGAGGGAAGCCCTCCGTCCGTCGTTCCTTCGCGAAAATTACCAAAATGAGCGTGACATCTTCTGTTCCAAAAGTGCTCCTGGGACAAGTTTAATCATCTGAATTCTTTTCCTACCAATTCGGCACCTGTTATCATATTTATATTCTACTCCCTGAAATAAACGTCAAATACTAAAAATGAGTAGAATCCAGCAAATAAATCCACATCAAGTCAGGTAATAGGAGGAATTAATAATAAAATAAATGAATAAATTGCAACCTATCAATTCCCCCCACACCTAAACCATGCTTGTCCTCAAGCATAAGAATAGTAAACGAACACCAAAATTCGATGATGGCCATTGCCCAATCTCTTATATTGCCAAGATATTCAAGGGAAAATCATATATCGGGCACTAGTGATTAAAATCCAAGAAGCATCCCCCCGGTTAGCCCCTAAACTGCAAATCCCTTCAATTTCCAGGTTAACTACTCTAAGAAAAGGGAATGACGCACAACATTTATCAGCTAACGGTCCAAATATTCACATAAGTCTCCATATTAAGTCCATAAACCGGCAAGCCTTCCCATTATTCATTCTCTCTTTTTTCATTTTTTTTCTTTTTTTTTAAAGAACAATAATAATTAACACAAAAAGACTTAGTCGTTAGCCGTCGGGGCCTTTTGACGCGAACTCCAACATTTTTAGATGAAGGAGCCCGGTTACTCAGCTCCTACCGCTATACGACCACGTACTCATATAAAGTACCACCTTTGACGCGAGAATCGACACTTTTAGGTGCCGATCTCCGGTTAATCAGTAGTAACTTAATAGCGGAGTACAGTCAAGCTTATTCACAGCCAAACAATGCACAAACGCAAAATAATAGCACTAACAATCAAACATAGGAGCAGCTCGCCTCATTATTGCCAAACATGGAGAACTGGAGTCAATATTGGACCAGTTCACATTAAAAGGCCATAGT